TAAGTACCTGCTGTGTACCCAGCCACATGCTAAATCCCTTGTGTGCATTAATTCATCTCCTGGAATCCTTTCAGTACTCTGCACGGTGCTACCTACTGGCCCTGGTTACAAAGAGGAAACTGAGGACTTAAGAGTTGGAATAAAGCTGGGGGGGAGAGGGCGGTACGGTGGCTCATACCTGTAATCAGACTGAGATCTGAGGATCGCGGTTCGAAGCCAGCCCTGGCAGAAAAATCCATGACACTCTGATCTCGAATTAGCCACAAAAAGCTGCAAGTAGAACTGTAGCTCAAGTGATTAGAACGCTAGCCTTGAGCACAAAAACTCAGGGAGAGCACTCAGGCCTAGAGTTCAAGCCACATGACCAGCAAAAAATAAAAGAGTTGGAAAACTCCCAGACTGATCGTTGGAAAGGGGTAGACTACTTGACACTTCCTGGGAAAGAGTGTGTGTGTGTGTGTGTGTGTGTGTGTGTGTGTGTGTGTGTGTGTGTGTGTGTGTGTGTAGGTGGCTGGGGGGGGGGGGGGCTCTTATTAGTGCATAGTTAACCAAGCCCTGACCCCGAACTCCTCCCTGGCACTCCAGCCAAGTTTCTGTTCCTTTGTTGAAGCCATATCACTTTCACCTTTGTTTACTCCTGGGCAAAGAAAGGGGCAGGCAACCTTGAGCCAGGCTGTGTGCTGGGGGTGGTGGGGAGAGAGTGAGAAGCAGCAGTGAGAAACGTGGTTGTGGTTAGGACATGGTCTAGAGGAAGATCTAGGTTTGAATCCCAGCTCTGTTGCTTTCTAGCTTTATGACTGGATGGATAACTCAACTATCCTTAGTTTGCTCATCTGTAAAACAGGGAGAGCACCTTGTAATGCTGTGGAGTCAGTAAACACACAGAGAGAGGACTCAGAAAGGTGTTGGGGTACATAATAGGTATGAGTTACCCCAGGCTCCATACTTTTCCGGGTGTGACAGAAGCTGTAGAACTTGCGGGATAGGTCTGGCAGCTTTTTCCTAGGTTCACAATAAAGCTTAAGGGCTAGGTGAGGAGTCTCAACTGGAGCCATAGTCACTGCCTGTGGATTTGCTGAGAATCTCAGAGGTAGTCCAGATCTGAGAGAGGAGAGAGGGTAAATCCTGGGAGCTAAGACACCTACCTAAACCTGGCTCTGTTGTCAGCAGTGTGACCTTAACAAAGCCCCTGAATTCTCATTCTTTTCCAGGGTTATAAAACAAGATAGTTGGACTCTGTGACCTCAGATATTTTCTGTTGGCAGGTGTTAGTCCCTATAAAATGCAAGTGGACCTACTCCTTCTTCATCTCCCTGAATGGCCTGGAAGGAATCCAAGATCCCTAATCCCCCAAGGTAGTTGAAGTGTCCCTCAGCCAGCCACCAGGCTAACAGAGTCTCAGGCCTCAGTCAGTGATAGCTTCTATTGTGCATCAGTGTGAAATGAACAAAGGCACATGAAAAGGGTGTCTGAGCATGTACACCCATGTGGACACACATGCCTGGACAGGATTGAGGTGAGCTGAGGAGAACAGGCCACATCCCTAGCCGGGAACAGGGCTGGGTCCCTTTTTGGTCAGGGTTGGGTTCTGGATGTTGGGTGGCCTAGCTTTTCAAAGCCACCCCAAACTGACTGGCCCTTGTCTGAAAAGAAGGTAGGGGAGGGAAGGCTGTTGGGACCTTCCAAACCTCTAGGTTAAAAAAAAAAAAAAAAAAAAAAAAAGATGATTACCCATAATTCTATGGAGCTTAATCCTATCTTGCCGGCTTCATCCTAAGTGACTCCTGCTTACTGGGTGTCTCCTTGTTGTGGAGATTGTGGGCAGACAGGGAGCTTGAAGAGCTCCTGGAGACTTCTCAGTGTCCTCCATCAACTGCCTCATGGGCCCTTGATTTGCCTCTGAAGACTGTGCGTTCAGAGTCTGGAAGGGTCTGGGCCTGACCCTGCCACTGATCTGTGGTATGACCTCAGACGATTGTGTATCTCCTCCTGGAATCTCATGGAAAGGGCTGGGGATGATCAGGTGCCCCAAAGTGGGCTGAGCTGGGAATAAAGCAGTTTTGCCACTGTCTTAACTGTAAACTCTTCTCTCTCCTCCTCCTCCATAGTCTTGACTTCTCTACTATAGAAGGGAAGTAATTACTGATAGCCAATCTTTGTGCTAATCCCTGGGGTTGTTTTGAAATACTAGGACACTTTCACATAAGGATGGCTAGCCACAAGCTGGTGGCTCACACCTGTAATCCCAGCTACTTGGAAGGCGGAGATCTGAAGATTCTGGTTCCAAACCAGCCTGGACAGGAATATCCCTGAGTTCTTACCTTCAGCTAGCCAATAAAAAGCTGGAAGTGGGGCCCCAGGACTCTTCTCTCCCCCCCCACCCCCCGTTAAATAAAATTTAAAAATTAAATGATAGAAGGGCTAGATGTATGAGCAACACTGCAACACTAGGGATCCCAGAAGACAAGGCAGGATGGAAAAAGACTCTAGGTCTGAAACCTGTATTGGAATCCTAGTCCCTGTCTAGCCCCAGCTCCAGCCCCAACCCCATGCTGGAAGTTTGAACTCTGATATTCCACAGCCAGTCTTGGTTTCAGGCCAGGTCAATAAGTGTCCAAGTAGACAAAGTACCCCTTCCTTCCCTCCCTCTCCCCCCCACCCCCAACCCCCTGCTTTTTGCTCTCACTGAATCTCTCTCTCTGCTGGATTTGATGACCCCATGTACACATGTCTTCATGCATGTTCATGTGTGTGTGTTTAACATTCCCTGCTGACTGACCTGTACCTGGGTTTTGGTCACTTTCTGCTTGTGTAGTTTTAGAGAAGTGACTAACATTGCCTTTTTGAACTCTGGATTCTACCATTGCCAGAGGGACCATTAAGAGAACTGGATAGAGAATGGCATGGTGCACACCTGTAGTCTCAGTACTTGGGAGGTTGAAAGAAGGAAGGAAGGGATAGATTGATAGAGATGGGCTTACAACTGTTTAAGATCTCACACTGAGCAAGCCACCAAGGTCCTGCTGTTTTAGATTCTGAGCCCCAAGGGAATCTGCAGCTGGAGATGCCAATAGAAGCCCCTGGTCCTTGCCTAGGTATATATATACTTACCCAACCTTGCAGGATCCTTTCCCCTGCCCTGCCAAGCCAAAGACACAGGCTGTGTGTATGTGGAGGGGGTGGGGGGAGGGGAATTCCAGCACCAGTAGTCCACAGCTCCTGATTCCGGAGTCATGAAGTCATCCTTAACCAGAGCTTAACCCCTGCTGGAACCCACTCCCACGTGTGTGCCAAGCGCTCTGCATTTGTTTCCTCTGCCCTGGGTTAGATGGATGCCTCCCCGCTGCCCTCTAGCCTGACCCTGCTTCCTTCCGGGTATCCAGAATCCTGCCTCTGAGGGGGTGGAAGAGAATACAGATATGGCTGCCTCTCCCCGGAAGCTGCAGGGAGGGAGGGTGTGGGAGGAGCCAGTTCTGAGTGCCTTTCCTGAACCTCTTTCTTGCCACTCGATACTCTTCCTGTCTTTGGGGGCATCTTTATACAGATCTTCCTTCTCAGGGGCAGCCTCCTGTGGTTGAAGGACAGTTTGGAGCAGTTAGAAATACACTTGTCTTCTTTCTGTCCCAAGCTGTGTTGCTAAAACTGTGGGTCACTGGCTCAGATTCTCTTATCCATGACAGGAGGACAGGGCCTTTTTTGGGGTCTCTAGTTTTGTTCTGTGGTTTCTAGGAGACCCTTACCTCCTATAGTTATGGGATCTGGTCAGAGTGAAATGCTAAACCTTGCTCAGGGTTGTTCTGTGGGCAGACTGAGACTCAGGTCTAGAGGCTAGAGGAGAAATGGTGGGCCTCGGAATGCCATCGAGCTACTGAGGGATCTTTGTTTTCCACTCAGTGGAGCTAGGGGCTGGGGGTGGAGTAATGTGCCCTGCCCTGCTCTGGGAAAGTTCTTTAACTCCCTGGACCTTGAATGTTTTCTGAAAGCTGCTTGGTGTGGGGTTGGGTATCAGACTCCGGAGTGACCAGCTGGGTCTCCATGGGGCAAGGGCCGAGTGACACTTACAGGGCAGGACTGTGCCTCTGTGTCTAACCTCCATGGTACTGGCTGTGTAGGACAGATGTATAGACGTGTGGAAGACAGAAGAATCCAGGAGTCTGCTCTTGAGACACTAGGTTTGAGCAGTACGTAGATCTGAAGCTGTCTTGAAATGTGAGTAAGTCAGTCCTGTCGGTCCCAACCCAGTCTGACTCAGCTGGGAACGGTGCCCCAGACTGGGCAAGGCCAGAGTCAGTAAGGGCACCTCCTGTCATGTGTGAATCAGCTGCCACTGCGTCATAGGACCCTGAGGGGTTGTAACCCACCCCGGGGCTATCACTGTGCCTGGGAGGTGCTGGACTGCCTTCAGTTAGTTAAGTTGTGTTACCCAAAGAAATTAAGTTGTAGTTTCTCTCCCCCCCACCCCCACTCCCCGGGGCAGGTTGAGGGGAGGGCTTAAACTCAAAGCCTGGGCATTGTCCCTGAGCTTTTTTTTGCTCAAGTGCTAGTGCTACACTTCCAGTTTTTCTAGTAGTTAATTGGAAATGAGTCTCACAGGTTTTCTTGCCCAGGCTGGATTCGAACCATGATCATCATATCATAGCCTCTTGAGTGGCTAGGATTACAGACAGGACCCGCTGGAGGCCAGAGCTGAGTTGTAGTCAATACCCAGTGTCCTTCATTGTAAAATAAATTAACAATACCTCCTCAGACTTACTTTAAAAACCTCCTGCCATGCAACAAGTGCTTAGCAAGTAATAGGAATAATCGATTATTATTTTTATTAACCCAGAGCAGGAAAGAGAATTGTGTAAAGTTACATAGCAGGATGGGGGCAGAGCAGGATTCAAGATCTAGGTTTCCAGACCTGGCTGGATCCCCTGCTAGTTAATACTTCAGGGTCCAATTTACTGGCTGTTTTTAGGTGTTCAGCTGGCTGATGCTTTTATTTTCTTGCATTCTAGATCCGAGAGACTGAAGTCATCGATCCTCAGGATCTCCTGGAAGGCGGATACTTCTCTGGAGACCTCCCTGATGACGAGGATATCGGAGGGCCGGGGCAGGACAGTGATGACTTTGAGCTGTCAGGCTCTGGAGATCTGGGTATGGAGGGTGGGCAGGGCAGGCCTGGGGAGGGGAGGTGTGTGGAATGGAATGGAGGGAAATGGTGATCTTAGGAGGGAGGGGGGTGACTTGGCTGGGATTTGTGTGTGGGGATTTTCCAACAGTGCTCCTCCCCCACCTCCAAAGGGAAAATAGAAGTAGCTGGTTTAACTTTTCCCAGAGACCCTCTGGGGGGAGTTGTATGTTGCTTTGAATTCATTCCTATCTGGGATTTTCAGGCACCAGCCTGAACCTGCCCTCATAGGCTCCTCCCTTTGGCAGAGGGGAAAGTAAGGGTGGAGGAGGAGCACCCATAGACTGTTTTTCTTCCTTTGGAAAGGAAAAGTACTAGCTCAGAAGCAGGGGTGGGGCAGGAGGGGGGATGTGTAGACAGAGAGGGGTGAAGAGTCAGGAGTAAGCCCCTAAACCTAGGTTTGTAGGAGACTGAGAACTGAAAGATTAAGGTTTAAGTCCAGCCTAGGTAGGAAAAAACAAAAAGAACATTTCACAAGATCCTATCTCAGAAATACCAGGGCTGGAGGTGTGGCTCAAGTGGTGCAATGCCAGCCTAGTAAACTGAAGTCCTTAAATTCAAATCCCCATAGCACCAAAAACAAACAGCCCAGTTTCAGATTAGGTTAAAGGGACTGAGGCTAAACCAACCAAAAGTGCTTTTGTAACATTTGACTTTCCTGGCTGCAAGTCAGACTGCTCACTGGTCTCTGTCCCTTCAGTCTTCAGGAATATGCTCATTACTCCAAGTTTGAGCCTTGGAGTCACACAGTGCTAGGTTCAGACCTCAGTTCTGTTACCTCTGTCTAATCCTTAGATTTCCCCATCTCATAATGACAACATCAGCGTTGTGTGACTGAATCAAGTTCACTCAGCTCTTGGCATATATCAAGCATTCAGGAAGTGTGTGTGTGTGTGTGTGTGTGTGTGTGTTCAAACAAATTGTATTGTCTACATTTAAGGTATACAACCTGCAGTTAAAGGATATATACATAGACAGAAAGGTTGCTCTTAAGAAGCAAATGAACCATATCCATTGTCTCATGTAGTCACACAGATGTTTTAGTATTACACTGTGTAGTGCTTAACACTGCAATTAGTCTCCTGAAACCTTAATTCCCTGGAGAATCTTGTTCTAATGCAGAGTGGGGTTTTATTGGCAGCAGGGCCCTGATCTCCAGCTCCTGGGCGCTGTCCCCTGAGCTTTTGTGCTCAAGGCTAATGCTGTATCACTTGGAGCCACAATACCATTTCCAGTTTTTGGGTGGTTAACTGAAGATAAGAGTCTCATGGACTTCTCTGCCCAGGCTGGCTTTGAATCTCCATCTTCAGATCTCTAGCCTCCTGAGTAGGGTTACAGGTGTGAGCTTTTGATGCCTGGCACCTTCTGCATTTCTAATCAGCTCTCCCAAGTATTGTTGTAGAGCTGAGAGTTTGGAGCTGCCCAAATACCTGCATAGACACCAGTGCAGCCAACATTGTTGTGAAATGGTCAGGGGAACAGGTCTTAGGAGCCTGGTTTTTTCAGCCTAGGTGACTGGGGTTGAGGTAATGCTCAGTTGCTGGACTTGGGGGTTGTAGGGGCTGGTTGTAAGGTTGGAATCCTGCCAGCCATGGACAAAAGGATCAGTTATGTGGGCATAGTGGACCTGGTATTCATGCACCTATTATTCTAACTTTACAGATGACTCAGAGGACCATAGGACCTTCCCTGAAGTGATCCAACCCTTGGTAAGTGCTGCATGCCTTTGCCTCTCTCCCTTTGCTCTTCTCTAATACGTTTGTAAAGAGAGATGGAAAATTCAGATGCACCCTGGGCAGAATAATTGTGGGCTAGGTAGATCATCCTCCATGAAAGGATGACCCATCCCTTTTTTGTGCCTTTAAAATGTTTACAGCACAGATATCACAATTGTGCCTGCCGGTCTGTGCTCTGTGTTGTCTACCTACAATGGTCCTGAGTATCTCCCTGCAGAACGAAATGCCCTTGTATTGTTATAGGTTGTATATTAGTTACCTGATTCTTATTGGTGAGGATGCTTAATTGGAGGTAAGATTCTCATAGGCTTTCAGACTTTGTGCCAGGACTGGCTTTGAACTGTGGTCCTCAGCTCTCTGCCTCCTGAGTAACTGGAATTATCAGCAGCCCAGCTGTTGAGAACTTTTTCATATCCTGAAGTGGAAACTCTTTGAGGCATCTTTGACACACTTTGGTTAGCTCCTTGGGTACAATCCCAATACTGTCTCTAAGGGCAAGCAGTTTCTAAGATTTTACCACTTCTCCCTCTCTCTTTCCCTCTCTCCTTTCTGTCCCTCAATCCTCTCTCCTCAATCCTCTCTCCTTTCTCCTCTCCCTCTCTTGCTCTCTCCCTCTCCGTCTCCTTCCCTCCTCCCCCTTTCCCTTTCTCTCCCTCTCTCTCCTCTAGAATACTCATAGACAGGAGTGGGAAAGAACAACCCCTTCCCTGTGCCCTCCATCAGATTCATTTCCCATTAGGAACAGATACTATAGGAAAGAAGGACAGTGGCATTATTTTGAGAGGTTGATGGCTCCTATCCAGGACGGTGTCTTTCAGTCTAGATTTTACATCTGGCTGAATGTCTGTCTCTTCCTGTGTTCTAGGTCCTCCTCCCTGCCCCCCGCCCCACTAAATTTCTTGAAAATATACTCTATTTCTCTTTCTTCCCCTGTCCTATACAGGTGCCTCTAAATAACCACATCCCAGAGAGGGAAGGGCCTGGGAGGCGGGTTCCCACCGAAACTGGGGAACTGGAGGCGAACGAGATCATCCCCAAGAGGATCGCACCCTTTGATGGGGATGAGGATGTGTCCAACAGAGTGTCCATGTCCAGCACCGCCCAGGGCAGCAACATCTTTGAGAGAACAGAAGTCCTGGCAGGTAAGGCCCCCTGCCCCTCCGGACAGGTCTGGACCAGGAAAGAGTGCTCTCAAGCAGAGGTGCTGCTCAACCCTGAAGTCAGCTCAACCCTGAAGTCAGTCGCCTTGGGGCAGGAAAGACTTTTACTTCCCTTAAGGGGCTCTAACTGCTTGCAGCCCAGTGCTGGAGTCAGAAAATTGCATATCAAAGGTTTCTAAAGAATAGTCTACAGGTTTCTAATGAATCATGTCGTGGCCTTAAGCCCCTTAGGTATTTATTCAAATCACTTTTTCTGGCCTGTGGTTGGGCTCTCGGAGTTAATCATTGGATAGTTAATTTCCTCAAAAGAGCCTGGGAGTTCTCTAGAATTAGATTGGTTTCCCTTCTGCCTACTCTGTCACTTAGCAGCCTTGTGACCTTAGCATTGGAGTTTGAATAGGTTGGACCACAGTTTACCTATTGGGAAGATGGGTTTGAGGATACTGCTGTGAGAAATGAAAAAGGGGTAAATTAAGTAAAGGGCTGTCACTGAGTCTTCATTTTCCTTTCAGGATGTGTGTGGGGCATATGTGACTCTGTGCCTTGCGTAAGGGCCTCGAGAGGTTAAATGTTTGGTGTTAGGTGAGAAGTCTGTGACTGTAATGTTGCTGGTGTAGGTTAAGCTCTGTCCAGATGAGGCTTAAGGAGTGGCTCTGTCAAGCGCAGCAGGAGGTTCCCTCATCTAGTGTCCAGTCCTGTCTTCTTCCCTCACTCTCTCAGCTTCCCACAGTTTGGGGAGAGAGGTAGGTGTCCCCACAGCTGATTGTCAAAGGAAGGAGGGGACTTTTCCATCATGGTACAGGCCTACTGGCTGTGGTTGAAGACCTGCCTGGATGAACCGGCCTGGTGAGTGGGTTCCCCTAGGCCCAGGCTGGGTAACTGTTGTTTCCTGGGAACCAACTGGGCCAACAAACTCTGAGGAGGTAAGGTATAGGGAAAGAGCTCTGTGCCAAATGCTAGTAGTTGAGACAGGTGAAGGATCTCTCTTAGATCTTACAGATGTAACAGAGTGCAACTTGGGATGGTCTTGGGCTAGGCCCTGCTCCCTGACCTCTTGGTACCTGTGACAATGTTTTGTTTTGTTTTGTTTTTGGTTGGTTGTGGGGCTTGAACTCTGGGCCTGGGCACTGTCCCTCAGCTCTTCAGATCAAGGCAAGTGCTCTACCACTTGAGCCACAGCCCCACTTCCAGTTTTCTGTGGGGTTTATTGGAGATAAGAGTCTCATGGACTTCCCTCTCCAGGCTGACTTTGAACTGTGATCCTTAGATCTCAACCCCCTGAGTAGCTAGGATTATAGGTGTGAGCCACTGGTGCCCGGCTCAGCTGGTATATTTTAGATGATAGATTTTTATTTCTGTTTAACTTTTGCTTTAAGCAGTGAGAGGTTCTACTGCTTCTGTAGAAACATGTAAAAATCACTCCTCTTATCTGAGGAAAAACTGAGGCCCAGGCTTTGGATCACAGAGCAAACGAAGCCAGGCCATCTCCTTATGCTTCCATTTAAGAATTACATGTTTTCAGCTAACAGAGGCAGGAGTCTCCCTTCTAGTAGCTTTTCAACAGCACTTGTAGCTTGTCAGCGGATTCCTCTGGCCTTCGTTGTGTCCCCAGAACAACCTGACATGGGAGTCTGATGAACTCTAAAGTCACAAAGCCAAGAATCTGGCATTAGGCCCTAGGACCCTGGTTGACTTATGAGCCTGTGCTTGGACCTTAACCCCAGTGGCTGTCCCAGCACAGATCAAGGGCCTGATTGATGGAAGAGTGGGCTGTTAGAAAGTGCTGGAAACAGGAATAAGACTGATGCCTAGAGTTCCATGTGATTTTTCTGGCAGCACCCTGGAAGCCCTTTGTTGCTGCCTTTTATAGGGTTTTAGCCAAGAAAGAACCTTATTTGGCTCCTTTGTGCCACCTCACCCCCTTCTGTGAATAGATTTGTAGTGTGTGCAGGGATGGGAAATTAATCTTCTTAGACTAAGACCGAATTAGGGTACTCAATCTGCTACAGAAAGGATTCTGTGAGCCATCCCTGCCCCCTAACAAACAGGAATGAGTCATTCAAGCCACCTGGCATGGTGGACAAAACAGATGCTGACTCAATGCTAGAAGCCCACTTCAGCTCCGCACCAGCCGGAGGTTCCTCACGCAGCTGAACTGGGAGAGCCATGTACGAAGTACTCCCTGTTGTGCAGGCAAAGTTCAGGTGCTGGGGGCTAGATAGAAACCACAAGGGTTCACAGGTGCACGAGTCTGTAAGAGCAAATTATGGGTATGATCCTAATGGCTATAGCCAGTGGTTGGGAGAGGTAGGAACAGAAACAAGCCAGTGCCACTGAGGAATATGTAGGGCCATAATAATCTAACATGGTAATAGTGTGTTCTGCGCACTGTGGAATACATACAGTGCCTGCCAGTAGTTGTATAGGCTCAGATATATATGCACACACAGGGTAAGCTACAAAGCACCCTATGCTGAGGATAGCAGTGTCTATGGGGGTTTCCATAGATGGCCATTGTCCTTGGTCCTAACTCAGTACTAAGCTACTGCTGGGGAGTCCTTAACCCTGTGGTCTCCAGGGACTTACTTATAATCCCTATTTGAGGTTGTAAGAGTCACAGGTGTGGTGGTAACGGTGAAGGTGTCTGACTATAAGGGTGTGGGGAGGGTGTGTGGTCTAGTCTAAGGTGCTGAAGAAGATCTCTCACTCTGGTCTCCTGCCCTCTTCCTCTCCAGCTCTGATCGTGGGTGGCATTGTGGGCATCCTCTTCGCTGTGTTCCTGATCCTGCTGCTGGTATACCGCATGAAGAAGAAGGATGAGGGCAGCTACGACCTGGGGAAGAAACCCATCTACAAGAAAGCCCCCACGAATGAGTTCTATGCATGAAACTCCCGCAGATACAGCTTGGACTTTGGCGGGGGGGAGGGAATCCAGAGGATTGTGAGTAACGGGCATTAGAGTTAGGGGGTGGGCACCTTAATACTGACCCATTGGTGTCTCCGGCTCTGACTGCCTCTCCAGCATCAGAAGAGACATCATCTTCCACTGTGCTGCCTTGCTCTTCTCGATTCTTTGGGCCTTAGTTATTCTGGCAGAAAAGAAAATAATGGGGTTAAACTTGACCTTTCTGAAGGCAAGCCTGGGGCTGGGGCTGGGGTCATTCAAAAGATTTTCAGATTCAAATCTAGGACCAGTTTAGAGCTTGTACTGAACCTGTCTCAGCAGGGTCTTCTTTTGCGCCTCCCTTCCTCCCTCATCCCCCCCATAAAAGCTAGAGGTGACGTGTGTAGAAGTCTGCTGGGGCTGCCTTCCTTCCCCCTTTCCCAGCCTGTCCCTCTGCCAGGAATCGGGGGAAGACACTAGAAAGCCCTGCACCTTGGCACCTGGAGGCCAGTCCTCCAAAGGTGTTTGTACACACACTACAGGAGTGTCTGTGGTAAACTTTGGGCCATTCTAGGCTCTTTCAAGTGACTTTTAGAAATCAGTTTTTTTTTTTTTTAATGTGGGGGAGGGAGGAAAGGCGGGGGGCGGGGGGGAGAAGTGTGGAAAGCTCGCTTTGAAGTGGATTTGTAGAGTTACTTGTATATCTATTTTGTCAAAATGATGGTTCATTCCTTTGTGTGCAGGAATATCTGTACCTGGGTCAGGGTGTAGAGATGGGGAAATGTTTTTATCACCTGTTTTTTTCCACCGCCTATGCTATTTGTATTTAATGGTTTTGTTTTTGTTCTTGTATGTTTCTTGAAAATGAGAAGAAAGCAGGAGGTGATTTTTTTTATTAATTTTTTTTTTTTTTTTACTATTTATAGCTTCAGACAGGGCCCCTTCCTTCCCCCCCCCCCATTTTTTCTTTAAACCCCTCCCCATTTTCTGTTTTTTAATAGTTCACACTCCCTGCTTATGACCTTGGCCCCTTTTCTGAAGCTGCTGCTTCTAAGTTAGTGTTTTGCTGAAACATAGTTTTCTAGCAAATCCAGATTCCAAAATATAGGGGATGGTGAGGAGTTTGTGTCTGTGTGCTTTCTTGTATTATTCGCCTTTCTTGGTTCTAGAAAAAATAGATTAAATATATTTTTTCAGGATATAGTAGGATATTTCCAATTTCATGTTGGCTGGGTTGTCTGAGTGAGTGAGTTTTTATGTGACTAGTTTGTTTGTTTGTTTTCTATCCTTTTCTTGCCCCGTTCCTGGTGCCTTCTCCTGTCTGAGCTGGAGTGGTTGTGAGGGTTGAATATTCCAACACTTTTTCTGCCTTCTTCCTGGGTCCCAGGGATTCTTGGATTTGCTTTCTCTGAGCTCTAGGAATATGTTGTCCAATTAGGGTAACCACACACATGTGGCTATTTCAATCAGTTTGGTTTAAATCATGTAAAGGGAGCAAAATCATTCCACATTTGCACTGACCACATCGGAGTGCTTGGTGGCCCTCCTGACCCTACAGAGGAGAGGATTTCCATTGATCAGGCACTTTGTGTTGGAGAACTGAACTGATGTAGTGAATCACAGCTTAGCTTTGCTGGGAAAACCCTTGTCTCCCTGGGCAAGGCAAAGCAAGGGGGCGGGGAGGAAGGCAATGAAGGGCCTGTTATCCTAGCCTCTTCCTTTTACAGAAGAGAGGCCTGGTGCATTGGCTTATGTCTTCTGACCCCACTGACTGGAGTGATGGGAATCATGCTCCTTAAAGCATCCACTGGCTCCTGTCATTACCCCAGCCCAGGGTCTCCACTGGCTGGGTCCTTTTCTGGTCCCAGTCCCCTTTTCCTCAGACTGTATTGTAATGAGCACCTTTTCTGTAGTCCCTCTCACACTGTTGTCTGTTACTGATTTTTTTTTGATAAAAAGATAATAAAACCTGATACTTTCTAGACTGCCTATCTCTGTCATTTCATGTTTATAATAAATCATTATTTCTGGGTTCAATAGCCGTAGAACTTAGTGAAGCATGAGAAAATTCTTTTGACTGAATTTCCCCCAGGTGCCAGATACAGGAGCAGAGGCAGAAGAACACAGGGAGGGGCCTCCAGGGATGGGAGATGTCAGAACTCATTCACTGGTGGCCTGGACAGTGTATCATCTCTGCTTCCTGGGTTGGTTCGGTGGCACTGTGTTTAAAAACAAGCACAATGGGCTGGGAAGGTAGCTCAGCGGTAGAGTGCATGCCTTGCAAGCATGAGGCCCTGGGTTCGATTCCTCAGTACCACATAAACAGAAAAAGACAGAAGTGGCACTGTGGCTCCAGTGGTAGAGCGCTAGCCTTGAGCTGAAGAGCTGAGGGACAGCGCCCAGGCCCAGAGTTCAGGCCCCATGACCGGCAAAAAAAAAAACAAAAAACAAGCACAAGCTGAGCACTGGTGGTTCACCCATAATCCTAGCTACTTGAGAATGATATTGGAGTGAGATCACAATTCAAAGTCAGCCCAGGCCACGAGAGTGTATGCAACTCTTACCTCCAGTTAATCACCAAAAAGCCAGAAGTGGAGCTGTGGCTCAAGTGGTAGAGTGCTAGCCTTGAGTACAAAAGCTCAGGGGCAGCACTATGCCCTGAGTTCAAGCCCCAGGACTGGCACCCTCCCCCCCAAAAAAACAACAATCTTGAATGAGTTGCCATTGATACAGAAATAGTTTCTCAAAAGAGTCCGGACTCTTCTATTGGGGGGAGGGGAGGTAGGGTGACAAATCATTTGGGCAAATGACAGTCTGATTGGCAAAAAGTGGATGTGTCTGAAGGCAGCACCCTCCTTAACGTGGCTCTGCTCTCCCCCATCCTCCTTCAGCTTGGCTTCTGCAGACACTCTGATTGGAAGGTTCTGGAAACATTGACAATCTCTCATGGTCCTCATAACAGCCCTAGGAAGCGTGGATCATTTTTACCAAGTGCGTAACCTGCCCTTGGCTTATGTGTGCAGAGTTGGGCCAGATCCTTGGCTGTTGGTTTTCCCTTGCTTACCACCACGTGGGTGCTCCCTGTGTAGTAGGGGAGAGGGGAGGAGGCCAAGAGGGGTTGATGGTACAGTCATAAAATCTTACATTGCCCATTTCACCATCCAGGAACCCATTCTCAGATGCTTTATCTGAATCCATCATTACTGCAACTCTACAGCATTGGTGCTGTTAAGATAGCCCCATTTTACAGATGGGAAACCTGTATCTAAAAGGTTGAACAATTTGCCCAAAGCAACCAGCTTACTAGTGGTGGAGGTAGAACTTGAACCAACTAGGTAGCCAGACTGCTCAGAACCATAGTACCCATCAGGTTTACGTAATCCCCATGAAGCAGAGCGTGCCTCAGATCCCTTGTGAGCTCAAATCCCTCCTGAAGTTCTGCAATATGTTAGTTGGGTTTTTTGGGGGGTGAGGGGGAGAGCGGGTCCTGTGAGGCTCTGTTCTTGTCATTTGTTTCTTGGAGCAGGCCTTCATATCTGTTAGCTCTTCACCATTCATTGCCTACTAGCAGCTATGGGTGTTTGAGTTTAAGAAAACATTAGAAATAAAATTTACTTCCTCAGTTACACTAGCCTCATCCTAAGCGCTCGGTGGCTAGTGGTTATAATCCTGGACAGGCAAACAGAACATTACACCTTCCTAGAAACTGTAGGTCAAGACACAATCTGTGTTTGGATTTCGGCTTCCACAAACTGCTTCCTTGCCTGTCCACTGCCTGGTGGGAGGAAGATGAGATTCTTGCACACATTGTTTCATAAATGGCCATCTCATTGCCACCTTTTGGGTAGCCCCTTAGCTCCAGAAGTCTCCATTACTTTTTAAATTGTCCCCAAATTTGTGGATTTAACATAAATCCACTCTCACCCAGTTCTCTTGAATCAGGAGTAGCTTAGCTGGTGGTTCTGGCTTAGAATCTCCTAAGGTTGTGGTCCAGAATTGCAGTCATCTGAAAGCTGGGCTGGAAGATCCATCTCCAAGATGGCACACTCACTTGTCTGGAAACTTGATGCTGGCTATTGTCAGGATGTCTCAGTTCTATCAAATGGCTTCTTGAACAGTCAGTGATTCAAGAGGCTCAAGTAGAAGGGAGCTGTATTAGTCAAATTTCATCACTGTGACAAAATACAAGGGGAGGAAGATTTATTTCGTCTCCTGGTGTCAGCCCATGCACACTGGGCTCCCTATTTCTGAGCCTGGGTTGAGACAGACTATCATAATGGAACAGAACTACCAGCTTCATGGTGGCCAGGAAGCAAGGACAGGAAAGGGTAGGGACAGGGATAAGTTTCTAGATCATTCCCCTAGTGATATAACTTCCTTCAACTGGATTTTACCTACTTTTCTACCTTACAAGCTTCTCTACCTCTTAATAATACCATCACATGTGAATCTGTGAAAGGATTAATCCACTGATTAAGTCAGAGCCCTTCAATTACTCCCAAAAGCTCATCAGCTGGCAACCAAGTCTTTAACACTGAGTCTTTTGGGGTAACACTTCATCCAAATCGCCCCTCTCCCCCAATCCATCTTAGTGAAGCTTTAAAGCCAGCCCAGGTAGAAAAATTCATGAGACTCTCCTCTCCAATTAACTAGCAAAAAAACCAGAAGTGGAGGTGTGGCTCACGTGGTATAGAGTCAGTCTTGAGCAAGAAAAAGCCAAGTGAGTCCAAGGTCCTGAGTTCAGGCACACACACATCCAAACCCATACACAATAGTGACCATGGCTCTGTGATTAGACAATACTTGTGTGGGGTGGGCGCGGGCAGAATCTGATTTTTTTCTGGAGAGCTAACCCTGCATGACACAATATTTCAGAGAATCAAGCAAGGAATGCAGAGCAGATACTGGATCACATCAGGACATGTTTATTCAGGATCTGCCAATCTTCTGAAGCTTTGAAAGCACTGACCCATGCATGGGACATTTCTTGCATGGGCATGGTAAAGTTTACAAGCAAGCAAACAGATCTGACTCTGCCAATTGGCTTTGTGGCTTTGAGGAATAATCAGAATTCCAAGATGATCCTCAAAAGTTCTCTCCTTGCCCTGCCCCCCTGGTGTATACGACTTGCATTACAACTGGTATTATTCTCTTCCCTTGAGTGTGAACAGGATCTGTAGAATGATAAAATGTCAGTAGGTTTATGGTAGGTGTGAGGAAAGCATTTTCCTAGTAAAGTAGTTTGCTTCCTTTCTGTCAATCTTGTGAGGATTGTTTTTCTGAAAAGTTCCTGCTTTGGCCACGTGGCTTGGCACTTGTTAATTACAGTTTAGTTACACCCTTTTCCTGATGCACTTTAATGGGGACAACTTGTGAGAAGCTCCTTGGATTTTTGTTAAGTCATATCTTTTTGCAGATTGTGAACCTGAGCTTTAGCCAATCCGAGCAGAGGGCAGGGCCTTCTGGGTTAGTGGAAAAAAGGGAGCAGCAGCCTGCCTGCTTTGTGTGCTTGCTTGACAGATTTTGGTAAGCCTTACTTTGTCAAATTCATTTCAAGTTGGTGCCCTTATTCACACGGCACCCCAATATCCAGAGGCATTTCTAACATAGGTTACATTAGATAACAAAGGTGAGGAGATTTTGCAGAGGTATTTAATGATTCCAGTTAGTTGAGTTTTGAATGTGTAAAAAGGTATTTATTCTGGTTAGGCCTGATTCAATCAGTTGAACTTGAAGACGGAACATGTCATATGCTGTACAGCTTTAAGGGAGTAGAAAGAAATCACATGGGTGGAAGGGGAATTGCGGGTCAAAGGAACTGCAACCCCCAACTGACAACATGAACATGGCTTTGGGAAACCCTAAGCAGACTAGCTTAGGATGTGTTGGGCTTAGGGACAGTGAATGTGTGTGGTAACCTGTTGCTTTTGCGGTGGTGGTGGTGGTTCATTATGCAACCAGAAAACAAATACAAGAAGGTCACTTACCATTAATTTCCTCATCTGTTTATTTTTAGGGGGAGTTCACCAGACCCTGAGTTAATCAGAATTTTATGCTTGGTAGGCAGTGTTCTACCACTTGGCCACATACCTAGCCCTTCCCCATCTGTTTGTGGTGAGAGAGAGTGAGAGCGAGAAGGAGAGGGAAAGAGAGAGTGGGCAAGCGAGCAAGGGAGAGAGAGAAAGAAAGAAAGAAAGAGACTGAGAGTGCATGTGCACAATAAATGGTTCATTTCAAAAAGTGCTTCTGTAGTAACAACAATGGCATAATTAGCCTACATAAAGTGGTTACCATGGCCAGGCCCTGTTGGAAGTGCTTGGCGTGTTGGATTACCTTACTCCTTATGACAGTTTATGAAATAAATAATATTTCCATTCACAGAAGTGGAAACTGAAGCAGAGAGGTTAAGTAGTTTGAGCTTATCAAGTTCACCCATCTAGCACACACACATGAAGCTTAAAAAATCACCATTAAAGAATTACATTCCTTCATTCTAACATGGGTCCTGTCAAAATATATGTCTTAAGAATACATTAATACAGATGCATATTAAATATACCCAGTGTATGTATACCAGGACAAAACCAGGTTCAGGATACCTCTACTCCAGGCTGATGGTACATGTTCAGCTACCAGCCAGGGTCAGAGAGAAAGATGCTGTGGACCAGACTGGGGCTCAGGATTGAACCCCAATCAGTTGAAGGTTCCACCCTGATACACACACACACACACACACACACGCATTTTTTGTTATTGTTGGTCACAGGGTTTGAACTCAGGGCCTGGATGCTGTCCTTGAGGTTTTTTGCTCAAGGCTAGCACTTTACCACTTTGATCTACAGCTCCACTTCCGATTTTTACATGGTTAATTGAAGATAAGAGTCTCACATCATTTCTTGCCGAGGCTGGCTTTGAACCATGATCCTCAGATCTCAGCCTCCTGAGGAACCAGGATTACATGTGTGAGCCATCAGCACCCGGC